TGAGTACTGAAGACATATATCTTATATTAATGATAATAAGAAAAGGTAGTAATCACTATTTAGTGGGTGAACATTATTAAAGAAAGACAACAGATCTCACTGACTGACATTCTAAATTCATTATGTTTAATTTTAAAGGTTTAAAAAAAAAAAATCTGTCATAATTTTCTCACCCACATGTTGTTTCACACCTTTGGAACACAGAAGCAGATATTCAGAAAAATCAAATTCAGTGATTTTTGTCCATACGGTGTAGGAAAATGGGGATGAATGTAGTTTTGAAAGATTTCTCAAAACATCTTCTTTCATGTCTTTTAAGAAAGTTATACTGGAATAGTATGAGATGGGGGATAAAAATTATGACATTTGCATTTTGGGTGATAAAAAAACGAAAAAAACAGACATTGTTTTAATGATGTTGTGTTAAGGAGATCCCAGAGATCCACTGAACTGATTTAAATGGATAGTAAAAGCAGCATTGGTGAAGATGATCAGCCAAACAACAAAGAAAGCCTCTACCTATAGAAACTGAAGTGTAAAATGACTAAATAAATCAATATGTGCTCTAGGGCTGCACGATTATGAGAAAAATCATAATTGTCGATTATTCCCTTGAAATTGTAATTGCGATTATTAATTACGATTATCACAATTTACATTGAATGATGTTTATACCATTGTTTGAAGCAACGGCATGCCATATTTTTATATGAAAATAAACAAGCTGAAAACACTCAAACTGAAAAACGTTTATTGCATTTCTATAGTATTAAGCCTCAAAAATCAACTACACATTGGATTGGTTTCTTCTTTAAATAATAAAAAAGTAAAATTATGCATGATATTATAATGTTATACTAAAAGTAAAATTAAAACAATGGAAAACCCCTTAAGATAACCTGTAGAAAGAAAAAAAACCCGCAGGCGCTCAGAATAACATAAGTAGACTTTGAACAATTATTTGCCACTTTGAACGATTATGTAATTGTGGCATCTGTAATTGTAATCGCGATTAGAAATTCAATTAATAGTGTAGCTCTAAGTGCTATGATCTATAATCAATGTAATAAACATACTTCCAATGAGGTTCAATTTGTTAACATTAGTTAATGCACTAGCTATCATAAACTGTCCATTACTGATAATTTTGCATCTATTTATCTAGGTTAATGTTATTTTTTTTTATTTTACATATACTAATAATTTAACATTGAAATTGTATAAATCAACATTAGTTAATGTAATGTGACTAATAAGGGCTGTAAAAATATTCATGGTACAATGCGTTAACTAATGATAAAAAAATTTTACCTTTGTGTTATAAATAAATTTATTATAAATTTTATATCATAAATATTATATCGGCACACACGTTTTTAAATTACCTGTAAATACAGGGTTTTATTACCTGTAAATACAATATTCTGCACTATGTTTATTATGGTTCCTTCCCAAAACCAGAAATCAATGAAAAGCTAATATGGCTTTGTTTACAACCTGTTTAAATATTCAACCACATTAAATGGGAAATTGTTCCCTCTTCTGAGGGAGCTCCAGGTCATTTTCATCTGAAGGAGATCATTATTACTTTACATTACGAGAAAGCGACTACCACATTCTTCCTCATAGTGTGTCTTCAAACCAATGTGAGTTTCAGGTTCATTCAGACAAAAAAAAAAAAAGTGCCCCAGTGCTTAAGCATTGCCCAATGATGCTGGCCCTAGCAACAAGTTCACCGCTACAGTGACAAGGACTGGATGATGCAACCCAAATTCAAAGATGTTATTGAAAGGTTCTGACAGATTAATCTCCAGTCAGCTGTGAGAGTGGACAAAATAAAATTACCCATCTGTGAGACAGTAATATGCACAAAAAATGATAAAGCCTCTCAACGAACAGATTTGAAGTTTTCTGACAGATGTAGTTTTCATTACAGTGACAGCCTAAAATATTGGGCTGCTGGAGACCATAATTTGACATGCACAATAACAGATCAGAGCAAATCAACAGATAACAGCAATTTTGCTGCTGAATGAAAATTCATACCTTATGGAATATTGTCTCAGTTGCATATAATATTGCTACACCCATCTTACTGCATGTGTCAAAGAATGGTTAACAGCCAGAATGAGTTTTCTATGAACCGCATGAGGATTTCCTCACTCAAACTGATTAAACACTAAAAACTACCCTGTGGGCAACAAACAGGAGCAAGCACCTGCTATGATGAAGAAGAAAACTCATCTGCTAATGTATCTGTTTCTCTTGTTATTTGCATAAAGCAATAAGGATGCAGGTGAGCATAAAATTATTAAAAGCTTTTTTTAAAGGAATAATGAAAATTGCATCATCATTTAATCACCCTCATGTCGTTCCAAGCCAGTAGAAATTTGAGGGTGACTAAATGAATACAATTTTCATTTTAAGGCAAACCAACCCTTTAAAGAATGCAGATTAAGTTATGATTTTGGTCATTTGTGAGAAAACTCAAGGGTAAAGGAAGGATGTTCCTCCACTTTATTCCACTCCCTGGTGAAAGCTGAATTACACCCATTTTGTACCTAATCAGTCCATTACCATCACAGTCACTAATCAGAGCCTGCTGGCAGAATCATAATGAGATAAAGGGCAGTATGTTGAGTATCGCAGGGGAGGTCGGGCAACTTCGAAAGACATGCGGAGCTGAACAAACCGGAACAGCCTTCTTTCTATTGATAACTCAGCCAAAGTCATTATATTGCAATATTTGACCAAGAGGTGTGACCATATTTACTGTATATATCTTGCAAAGTCAAACAAAACATTTAAAAGCTATTTTTCACGGTTAAAATATGAAAGACAGAAAAGATTCTTCTTCAAAGCAGTCCTATAATAAGCACCAACCTTCTTTTGTTGTTGTCATATGACAAACAAGTGGTGCCGCACAACCACATCATTTTGATGGACAAGCTGTCCTGCACAATCACTGAAGTCATGGACACAATACTTGCTCTGGAGAACAGATAAAAATTCCACCCACATTCACAGGGATCAGCAAGTTTGAACCTCTGATGACTAATCGTAAATGTGCAGGAAAAAAAGTGGAGAGCAACAAAACAGATCAAGCGCTCCAATTTTGTGTGGAGTACAACTTTAATGGTTTGGCCACAACAAACAGAAACAGATTGCTACTAACAACTGGGCAGTGCGGTGCTGCAGTACTTCACTTCACTATCATAAAAATTAGATAACACAAATATATCTCATGAATATCAATGTGGCTTTTGAGGAAGCAGATTAGGGAAATTAGAGGCAAATTGAGCAAAGAAAATTCCCTCAAGAGAACAGCATAATGGAAACTTATTCTGCACTTACACTGGATTTAGGCTCATTAAACTAGAGGAACAAATGCCTCTGTAATGGTTCATTTTGAATAATTAGACGGTTGTGTGTTAATGACCTGCCCTTCAACAAAATGTGCACTCTCTGCATTAACTTCACTGACATAAATAAATGGGTAACAAAAAATTTCCAAAATATCCATTACATCAATCTCCACGGTTCTTAAATAAAATAATTAAACTCAAACGTTGAACTGTTTTAACTTGCTTATACACTATCATTCAAAAGTTTGGAGTCGGTAAGATTTTTTAAATTGTTTTTAAAAGAAGTCTCTTATGTTCACCAAGGATGCATTTATTTGATCAAAAAATACAGTATAAACAGTAATACTGTTAAATATTATTACAAATTCAAGTAACTCTTTTCTCTTTGAATATAATGTAATTTATTGCTGTGATGGCAAAGCTGAATTTTCAGCAGCCATTACTAATGGTTTGCAGAAACCATTCTAATATACTGATCTGGTGCTCAAGAAACATTTCTTATTATCAAGATTAAAGCAGTTGTGCAGCTTAATATTTTTGTGGATCTGTGAGACATTTTTTTTGATGAATAGAAAGTTAAAAGAACAGCATTTTTTTTTTAATAGAAATCTTTTGTAACATTAAATAGTAAATGTATTCACTGTCACTTTTGATTTAATGCATCCAAACTGAATATTAGCTGCCTTCAAAAAAAATCAAAAAAATAAATCATACTAATGCCAAACTTCTCGTTCAGGTAGCTTAAAGGGGTCATGATGCTTTTTTAAAGATCATTATTTTGTGTATTTGGTGTAACAGAATATGTTGACATGCTTTAATGTTAAAAAAACACATTATTTTTCAAATACTGTACATTATTGTAGGTCCTCTATGCCCCGCCTCTCTCAAACGCTTCGTTTTCTACAAAGTCCCTCCTTCCGACAACCGCAGTCTGCTCTGATTGGCCAGCTGACCCAGTGCATTGTGATTGGCCGAACACCGCAAGCACTCGTCGGAAATGTAACGCCCCTTACCATAATCGCGAGCTTCATCTTTCAAAATAAATGTAAAGACAGAGCCCGAAAGGGGAACAGAGTCGCGTGACAGACACAGTGATGAAGCTGGTATGTGTTTGCAGTAACCCCCTCT